GAAGCGTCTGCAGGGGAGCCTCTGTCGGGGGGAAGTGGGAGGAGTGAGGAGTAGCCCGGAGGCGACCCTCGACACAGGGGACACAGGAAGGTCCTGGCCCGGAGGGGAGAGGAGGGAGAGACTGGGGAAGACCAGAGACAAGGACACGGGAAGCCATGCTCCGAAGACGGGGCAAGGAGGGGTGGCCAAGACGGTGGTGCCACAGGAGAGTCTCGTGAGACAGGAGGCGACAAGAACACGGGGCAGACTCAGGACCTGACCGGGACGCAGCAGCAAGTACCTGACCCGACGCAGCCACCTGACCAGACGCAGGGACAGGAGGAGACTCAACGGTCAGGGTGTAGAGACTCGACCCCGGCCGACGTGAGAACGTGGCCAGGTGTCGGCCTGTGCGAGCCTCCGTGCAGTGGGTCACCCTCTGACGCGCAGGAGTGAACTGGTGAACACCCCCATCCTGCAGGTCCGCTCCACTCACCAAGTTCGTAGAGAACGAGGGAAGGTACAGACCCGACAGGGTGCCCGAAGGGGCAGCCGGACACGGGAGGACAGTGGAGAAGTGAGACAGGACAGGACCCCCAGAGGGGTCAGCAAGGGAGACCGCAACCGGCCTGGCGAGCGGCGAAAGGGTAGTGCGGTCTCGAAAGAAGGAGCGAGAAGCTCCGGAGTCAAGTGTGAAAGTGAGGGAGGACGAGGACGACTCAGTACCTGAGAGCGCAGTCTCACCAGTACCTGAGAGCGCAGACGCACTGGCACCTAGAGCAGCAGCCTCACAAGCACCTAGCGTAGCAGTACCAATGCCCGGGTCGGGCTGAAAACACCGGTAACCCTCATTCTCCTCACTATAATCCACAACATACATAGCAGTAAGGATAGCATCAAAATCAAGATCAAAGATTGCTACACCAGCCCTGAGAAGCTCATCCCAGCGAGGGATCTCACTAGCCCCAGGGAACTGCTGACGCCAAGCGTCCGTCAGGCGGCCAAAGCAGCGCTGGGTGGCGTGGGCACCCCCACACTGCTCACCCGCGCGGTCGCCGGAACGAAGAACGTAGGTGCAGGGACCAGTACCCCCACCCCTCTGACGCCCAGCGTACCACTCACGAAGCTGCTGAGGCGAAGGGATGTCCCGCGAGCGCTGCTGCTGCTGCCGGTGCGAGCGCTGGCCACCACTACTGCCTCCTCCGCTGCCGCCTCCACTGCCTCCACCTCCGCCGCCTCCACCTCCGCCGCTGCCTCCACCACCACCGCTGGCACCACCACCACCGTCTCCGCCGCTGCTGCCGCCACCACCACCACCACCCCCGCCACTAGCCCCGCCGCCACCCCCACTCCCTCCGCCGCCACCGCCGCCACCGCCACCGCCCCCTCCAGCTCCACCCGCGCCCTTGCCCCCTTTGCCCTTGCTGGAGCGACGTCTCCCACTAGGGGCAGACGCCGCGCCGACCGACTCAAGACCAAGCAGGTCGGCAGCAGCAGCAGAGGCAACAGAGGGCAGCAAGGGGGAAGGAGAGCACCCCTCAAAGATGGGGGTGCGAGGGTCACCACGAGAAGCACCTACAGCGACTATGCTCTTCTCCGCTGCAAGGAGGGCCTTCTCGAGGAGGTCGACGGTGAGAGTGGTGGGACAGACTGCGAGAAAGTGGTCCCTGACGACGCGAAGGGAGTCAGGGAGGCGTGCGACTACGTAGTAGAGAGCGATGTACATGGTGGGGGGGTTCTTAGCGCAGAACTCAGCAGGAAGGGCGGCGCGGTAGCGAGTGTCACTAGTGCGGAGGTGCGTAATGAGGTCAGCGACAGTGGGAAAGGCAGAGAGGTCAGGAAAGAGGTAGGGAAGCATGAGACGGCTCAGTGCAGCAGTGGCAGGGGAGGAGTAGCGCGCAACTACAGCGTCGTACAAGGTCTGAGCACTCTTGTACTGACTAAAATGCGCACGCTCAGAGGTAGGGAGGTGGCGACGCACAGCAAGACGTGCAGCAGCATCGCGGGTGGCCCACTTAGAGCGGACAGCGGGATCAGCATCAGCAGCAGGGGCAGGAGAGGCGCCAGAGGTGAGGTCAAAGAGAGAAAGGTCGTCAGCCCGGTCGCACTGTAAGAACAGCTGCAGGTCGTCTAACCAGACCTCAAAATCAATGGCGCGACCCTCAGCGTCAAAAGCTAGGACACTAGGGGTAGCCATGGTGACGACAGCGACGCAGTGCAAGCAGTAGGGAAAGAGCTCGCAGTGTCAGTGGGACAGTGCTCACCAGGCAGGGCAGGTCGTGCAGTCAGCAGAAAGGCGGCTCAGCGACCGGGCGGCTCGGGTGCACAGCTGCTCGGCTCCCGGGCTGCTAGGCGGCTGGGCGGCTCGGGCGCAGGGCGGCTCGGCTCCCGGGCGGCTCGGCGGCTGGGCAGCTCGGGTGCAGGGCGGCTCGGCTCCCGGGCGGCTCGGCGGCTGGGCGGCTCGGGTGCAGGGCGGCTCGGTTCCCGGGCGGCTCGGCGGCAGGGCGGCTCGGGTCCCGGGCGGCTCGGCGGCTGGGGCGGCTCGGCCGGGAGATGCAGCGTCGGGCCGGCAGGTGCAGCGTCGGGCCGGCAGGTGCAGCGGCGGGCCGGCAGGTGCAAGTGGCGGGCCGTAAGAGGCGGCGGGCCGATGGGTGCAGCGGCGGGCCGGTAGGTGCAGCGGCGGGCCGGCAGGAGCAGCGGCGGGCCGGCAGGGTGCAGCGGCGGGCCGGCAGGGTGCAGCGGCGGGCCGGCAGGGTGCAGCGGCGGGCCGGCAGGGTGCAGCGGCGGGCCGGCAGGGTGCAGCGGCGGGCCGGCAGGAGCAGCGACGGGCCGGCAGGGTGCAGCGGTGGGGCCGTCGGCAGCAGAGGCGGGGCCGCGTCAGAGGAGGCGGCGTGGCCGCGTCAGGGGAGGCGGCGGGGCCGCTTCAATGGAGGCGGCGGGGCCTCGTCAGGGGAGGCGGCGGAGCCGCGTCAGGGGAGGCGGCGGGGCCGCGTCAAGGGAGGCGGCTGGGCCGCGTCAGGGGAGGCGGCAAAGCCGCGTCAGAGGAGGCGGCGGGGCCGCGAGTGAAAAGGCGACCCGAGGGGTCGCTAAAAAAAAAGGGCGCGCCTCGGGGCGCGCGTCGGTGGGCCCAGACAACGGTCCTAAGGTAGGACCCGCTCTATACCATGTGAAAATAGGAAAACAGGAATGAATGAACTATGAATGAAAGCAGTACAAATATGAAACCCTAACTGGGTTGTACCCCCTATGGGATACCCCACTACAGCCTACACAGCAGTATAAGCTATAGATATGTTCTGACAGTGCGTGCGATGAGTTCGGGCCAGAGGAGACTGACTAGGGTCGCGAATCAGCTTGACATCCCACGACCTGAAGTCAAGGTCCTCTCTCGGCTGGGGAGTTCCAGTTACGATTCCCGCTCGCGGCTCGAGAAATTGTTAGGACTAAATCACTGTGGCCGTCCTGCTCCTCCCAGGGGTCTTCCTCCTCAATTGAAGACCCCGAACTCCTCGACCTTCTGCAATTAAAGGTAGGGTCACCCGTTTCGGTTTTGGTGTTTGTAACGGACCCCCTCGTGCCTACGCCATCGCTTTCCTTTAGGCATTATGTTCCCTCTGAGTCGTAAATGCATTAATTGAATGAAGTTAGTACCACCTCTCTGCAATTCCCGTTGCTTACTTTTCCATCGTTGTGACGGGGTTCACCTGTGCCATTACGCTCCCTCGTTAGTCAGTGTGGCATTGTCGTGGGTCGTTGAGCTAGGGCATCCGTGTTTATGCGCTGTTCGCAAAGTCTATCATCGAAGACCCCCTTGTCAGAACATATATGTAGCTTATGCTGTTGTGTAGGCTACAGTGGGGTATACCATAGGGGGTACAACCCAATTAGGTTTTGCTATTTGTACTCACTTCACTCATAGTTCACTCATTCTCGTTCACACTTTCTCATGGAATCAGAGCAGGTCCCTTCTTAGGGCCTGTTCCTAGGGCCCACCGAAGCGCGCCCCGAGGCGCGCATTTTTTTTAGCGACCCTCCGTGTCGCCCTCCCCGTCGTGCTCCCGCTTAGGCCCCTCGTCGGCCCCGCCTAGGCCCCTCGTCGGCCCCGTGTAGCCCTCGTCGGCCCCACTTAGGCCCCGCGTCGGCCCCACCTAGACCCCGTCGGCTCCTCGTCGGCCCCGCCTAGGCCCCACGTCGGCCCCGCGTAACCCCCGTCGGCCCCGCTTCGGCCCCACGTCGGCCCCGCGTAGCCCCGCTTACGCCCGTCGGCCCCGCTTAGGCCCCGCGTTGGCCCCGCGTCGGCCCTGCCTAGACCCCGTCGGCCCCGCGTTGGCCCTGCTTAGGCCCCGTCGGCCCCGCGTTGGCCCCGCTTAGGCCCCGCCGGCCCGCCTAGGCCCCACTTCGGCCCCTCGTCGGCCCCGCCCAGACCTCGTCGGCCCCGCCACGGCCCTACGCCGGCCCCGCTTCAGCTGCTGTCGGCCCCGCTACAGCCCGCCACTGGCCTCGCTACACCCCGCCACTGGCCCCGCTACAGCCCGCACCGGCCCCTGCTACAGCCCGCCGCCGGCCCAGCTACAGCCCACCGCCGGCCCAGCTACAGCCCGCCGCCGGCCCAGCTACAGCCCGCCGCCGGCCCAGCTACAGCCCGCCGCCGGCCCCGCTACAGCCCGTCACCGGCCCCTGCTACAGCCCGCCGCCGGCCCAGCTACACCCCGCCCCGGCCCCGCTACAGCCCGCCGTCGGCCCCGCTACAGCCCTCCTCGCGGCCCCTGCTGCAGCCCGCCGTGCTGCACGTGAGCAGCCCCAGCAGCCCGCGCCGCCCGTGAGCCCCTACGCCACCCGAGCCGCGCGAGCCGCCCGAGCCGCCCGAGCCGCCCGAGCCGCCCGAGCCGCCCGAGCCGCCCGAGCCCGAGCCGCCGAGCCGCCCGAGCCGCCTGAGGAGCCGTGCCGCCGTTCCTGAGCTGTGTTCCTCTGCTGCTGACCTACCCGACTCTCCCAGCCCGGTGAGACTTTCAGCTGCTGCCATGGCCACCCCCAATGTTCTTACTTTTGACGCTGAGGGGAGGGCCATTGACTTTGCCGTCTGGATTGAAGACCTGCAGCTGTACTTACTGTGTGATGCGATAGATGAGGTCTCTCTCTTTGACTTTGTCTCTGGCGCTGTCCCTGCCCCACCTGCTGATGCTGACTCTGCCGTTCGCTCCAAGTGGGCGACCCGCGATGCTGCTGCACGTCTTGCTGTGCGTCGCCACCTCCCTTCCTCTGAGCGTGCCCACTTTAGTCAGTGCAAGACCGCTTAGGCCTTGTACGACGCTGTAGTCGCACGCTACTCCTCCCCTTCCTCCGCTACCCTTAGCCGCCTCATGCTACCGTTTCTCTTCCCTGACCTCGCTTCCTTTCCCACTGTCGCTGACCTTGTTACCCACCTCCGTGCTAGTGACACCCGCTACCGCGCTGCCCTTCCTGCTGAGTTCCGCGCTGCAAACCCTCCTCCCATGTACATCACTCTCTACTTTCTCGTCACCCGTCTCCCTGAGTCCCTTCGTGTCGTTAGGGACCAGTTTCTCTCTGTCTGTCCCACCACTCTCACTCTCGACCTCCTTGAGGAGTCCCTGCTAGCGGCTGAGAAGAGTATTGTCGCTGTAGGGGCCTCTCGGGGTGACCCTCGCACCCCCATCTTTGAGGGGTGTGGTCCTTCCCCCCTGCTGCCCTCTGTCGCCTCTGCCGCTGCGGCCGACCTCACTGGTTTTGAGTCGGTCGGCGCGGCGTCTGCCCCCAGCGGCAGACGCCGCTCTGGCAAGGGCAAGGGGGGCAAGGGAGCGGGTGGAGCTAGAGGGGGCGGTGGAGGAGGCGGTGGGGGTGGCGGGGGGAGTGGGGGTGGCGGTGGGGGGTGGTGGCGGGAGTGGAGGTACTAGTGGCGGCGGTGGAGGCGGAGGTGGCGGCGGAGGTGGTAGCGGAGGAGGCGGTGGGAGCGGTGGGAGCGACGGTCCTGGTGGGGGAGGTGGCGGTGGAGACGGGGGTGGCGGTGGAGGCGGGGGTGGCGGTGGAGGCGGGGGTCGGAGTGGCTCGTCCCAGCGGAGCAGCTCTGGGGTGTGGTCAGCGCCAGCAGCAGCAGCAGCAGCAGCCGCAGCAGCAGCCACAGCAGCAGTAGCGCTCTCGCACCATCCCCGCCCCTCAGCAGCTCCGTGAGTGGTACTTGCAGCGTCAGCGTGGTGGTGCGCTTGGTCCCTGCCCCTATGTTCTTCGCACCGGTGACCGTGCAGGGGAGAGGTGTGGAGGCGCCCACACAGCCCGGCGCTGCTTTGGCCGCCTGACCGACGCCTGGCGTCAGCAGTTTCCGGAGGCCGCTGAGATCCCCCGCTGGGGAGAGCTGTCTAGGGCTGGTGTAGCTATTTATGATCTTGATTTTGATGCTATTCTCTCTGCTATGTATGCTGTGACTGGTAGTGATGAGGATGACTGTTACCGGTGTTTCTCGCCCGACCCGGGCATTGGTACTGCCGCGTCAGGTACTAGTGAGGCTGCTGCTCTAGGTGCCAGTGCGTCTGTGCTCTCAGGTGCTGGTGAGTCTGCCCTCTCAGGTACTGTGTCGGCTTCGGCCTCTCACACCTTCACCCTTGACTCTGGAGCGTCTCGCTCCTTCTTTAGGGACCGCACCACTCTCACGCCGCTGAGTCGGCCGGTTGCGGTGTCCCTGGCTGACCCCTCTGGGGGGCCTGTCCTCTCTCGCTTCTCCACTGTCCTCCCGTGTCCGGCGGCCCCCTCTGGCACCCTGACTGGTCTCTACCTCCCCTCGTTCTCGACGAACTTGGTGAGTGGTGCTGACCTCCAGGATGCGGGTGTCCACCAGTTCACCCCTGCTCGTCAGCGGGTGACCCACTGCACGGAGGCGGATACAGGTCGCCACCTAGCTACGTTTACACGTCGGCCAGGGTCGAGCCTGTACACACTGACCACTGCTTCTCCCCCAGGTGCTACGTCTGGTAGGGTCCCTTCGTCTGGTCAGGTGTTTGCTGCAGCGTCCAGGTCTGGTCCTGAGTCTGCCCCCTGCTCGTGTCATCGTCTGTCTCACGAGACCCTCCTCTGGCACCACCGCCTTGGCCACCCCTCTCTGCTTCGGCTCAGAGGCATGGCCTCGCGAGTCCTTGTGTCTGGTCTTCCCCGGTCTCTCCCTCCCCTTCCTCCGGGCCCTGGCCCTACCTGTGTCCCCTGTGTCGAGGGGCGCCAGCGTGCTGCCCCTCACTCCTCCCAGTTTCCTCCGACAGAGGCCCCGTTGCAGACGCTTCACATGGACGTGTGGGGCCCAGCCCGCGTCCGTGGACAGGGTCAGGAGCACTACTTCCTGCTGGTGGTTGACGACTACTCGCGTTACACCACCGTCTTCCCCTTGCGCAGCAAGGGTGAGGTCACTGAGGTGTTGATCGACTGGATCCGCGCAGCTCGTCTCCAGCTTCGGAGGAGCTTTGGCTCTGACTTCCCTGTTTTGCGTCTGCACTCGGACAGAGGCGGAGAGTTCTCCTCTGGCCTCCTGAGTGCCTACTGTCGTGCGCGAGGCATCCGTCAGACCTTCACGCTTCCGGACTCACCACAGCAGAATGGGATTGCTGAGCGCCGCATTGGCATGGTCATGGACGTCGCTCGTACGTCCATGATGCATGCGGCTGCTCCCCATTTTCTGTGGCCGTTTGCGGTCAGGTACGCTGCGCACCAGATCAACCTCCACCCCAGGGTCTCTCAACCGGAGACCTCCCCAGCCCTGCTGTGGACGGGGAAGGTTGGCGATGCGTCGGCGTTCCGGGTCTGGGGATCTCGGGCGTTTGTTCGCGACCTGTCTGCGGACAAGCTGTCCCCTCGTGCTTCTCCCTGCGTCTTCCTGGGGTTCCCCCCTGACGCCCCTGGGTGGCAGTTTTACCACCCCACCTCTCGACGTGTTCTGTCCTCCCAGGACGTCACGTTCAACGAGTCGGTACCCTACTACCGCCTCTTCCCCTACCGCACTCCGTCCCTCCCCCCACCCCCGCTCTTCTTGGTACCAGGTCCCCCCCCCCAGTAGTCCCCCTCCCCCCTCAGGGTCCTGCCCCTTCAGGTGTGTCCCATGTAGACGCGGTCAAGCCTGTCGAGGTCACTGGTGACTCTGGTGCTGCTGCGGGGGCTGAGCCTGGGGGTGCGGAGTCTGGGGGTGCTGAGCCTGGGGGTGCTGTGCCTGGGGGTGCTGAGCCTGGGGGTGCTGCGCCTGGGGGTGCTGTGCCTGGGGGTGCTGAGCCTGGAGGTGCCGAGCCTGGGGGTGCTGAGCCTGGGAGTGCTGTGCCTGGGGGTGCTTCGTCTCGCCGGGAGCCACTCTCCCCACATGAGCTGCGTGAGTGGTTTGCCAGGCGCTGGAGGCGTGCTGCTGGTGCTGGTGGTTCTTCGGCTGCAGAGGGTACTGCTGCCGCGCGTCCCACCGGTGCTCGTCATGTGGGTGCTGGAGCTGCTGGGTCTGAGAGTTCTACTGGAGAGGGTGCTCCTGCCGAGGGTGCTGGTGCTGTTCCTGCAGTTTCTGGAGTCGCCGCGCGGCCCCGACCGTACTTCGTTCCGCTCCTGCAGCAGGTTCTTGGTCTTACACCTCCTCCTCCCTTTGAGGGTCCGCAGCCTGTCCGGTCACAGCCACAGCTACAGCCTGCCTCCCCTTTGCCTGCTCCTTCTCCCTACGCTGGTCCGACTGGAGGTCTTACTGAGCGTCGTGAGCCTGCGTCTCGTCCTGCGTCGCCTGTTCGTCCAGAGCGCGCTAGTGGTCGCGGTTCGCCGTCAGCGTCCTCCTCCTGTCCCTGGCACGCACCGGATGTCTCTGCGTCCGTCCACTGCTCCTCTGCGTGCCCCTTTGCCTTCTCCTCCTGCTTCCTCTCTTCCTGCTCTTGCCGACCCGGAGTCGGACTCTCTTCGTGCTGCCAGTCCTACTGTCACGCGTCTCCTTGCTACTGCTGTCACTGACCCTTCCTTCGAGTCGTCTGCTGCGTCTGCCCTTGTCACTGAGCTTGTCGACTTTGCTGCGCGCTGTCGTCTAGACTACGCTGCTCGTCTTGTCACTGAGTCTGAGTCCGCCTGTCCTCCGTCCGTCGGGGGTGAGTGTGCCCTTGGCACGGACGTCCTTGAGGACAGGCAGGAGGAGTTCCAGTGTCTGGCCGCCGCTTCACCTCGTCTCGCGTCTGTACTGCTAGCCCCTGAGGGAGACCCGGATGCACCAGACATCCCGACTCCGCGCTCTTACGCAGAGGCGATAGAGGGTCCCTACTCCTCTCAGTGGCAGGCAGCCATGGATGCAGAGATGGCTTCCTGGAAGTCCACAGGCACCTACGTTGACGCTGTTCCCCCTCCTGGGGCGAACATCGTCAGTGGCATGTGGATTTTCAGGGTGAAGCGGCCGCCGGGTTCTCCGCCTGTCTTCAAGGCGCGGTACGTGGCTCGTGGCTTCAGTCAGCGGCAGGGGGTTGACTACTTTCAGACCTTCTCCCCCACCCCGAAGATGACCACTCTTCGGGTTCTGCTGCACGTTGCTGCTCACCGTGACTACGAGCTGCACTCTCTCGACTTCAGCACAGCTTTCTTGCAGGGCAGCCTGCACGAGGAGATCTGGCTGCGTCGCCCACCTGGCTTCACTGGGTCTTTCCCTCCTGGTACCCAGTGGAGTCTCCGGCGTCCAGTCTACGGTCTCCGCCAGGCGCCACGTGAGTGGCACGACACACTGAGGACTACGCTCGCGGCACTTGGGTTTGCTCCTTCTACTGCCGACCCGTCGCTGTTTCTGCGCACCGACACCTCTCTGCCGCCGTTCTACATCCTCGTGTACGTCGACGACTTGGTCTTTGCCACAGCTGACACTGCTGGACTCGCCTACGTGAAGTCCGAGCTGCAGAAGAGACACAAGTGCACTGACCTGGGTGAACTGCGCAGCTACCTTGGCTTGCAGATCACCCGGGACAGAGCACGCCGCACCATTACCCTGACTCAGTCACACATGGTGCAGCAGGTCCTTCAGCGCTTCGGCTTCACGTACTCCTCGCCTCAGGCCACTCCTCTGCCTACTCGCCACTCGCTCTCGGCTCTGCCTTCGGATGAGTCCGTAGAGTCGAGTGGCCCGTTTGCAGAGCTTGTTGGCTGCCTCATGTACCTGATGACCTGCACACGACCTGACCTCGCATACCCTCTTAGCATTCTAGCACGCTTTGTTGCTCCTGGGAGACACCGACCAGAGCACATGGCTGCAGCGAAGAGGGTGTTGCGCTACTTGTGCAGTACGTCGGGCATGGGGCTAGTGCTTGGAGGGCGCAGTCCAGTGGTCCTCACTGGGCACGCAGACGCTTCTTGGGCTGACGACCAGGCTACGCAGCGGTCGTCACAGGGTTACACCTTCAGCCTTGGTTCCGCCTCTGTCTCGTGGCGGGCTACCCGCTCGTCTTCTGTTCTCGGCTCCAGTTGTGAGGCTGAGATCTACGCTGGGGCTATGGCTGCACAGGAGTTACGCTGGCTCACCTACCTGCTGACCGACCTTGGAGAGCAGCCTCGTTCTCCTCCAGTCCTGTACGTAGACAACAAGGCCATGCTGGCCTTGTGTTGAGAGCAGCGACTGGAGCACAGAACGAAGCACATTGCTCTCCGCTACTTTCTTGCTCGTGAGCTACAGCAGCGTGGACAGTTGCGACTTGCGTACGTGGCCTCTGAGGTCAACACTGCTGATGTCTTCACCAAGGCACTTGCGCCTTGTGATCATCAGCGTTGTTGCACGCAGTTGGGTCTTGTGCCTGTCTTGCCTCACTTGCTCTCCTCTTGACCTTGCTTGTACCTTCGCCTATATATATCTTGCTCTTGCTTGCTTGACTCTTGTATATCTCTATATATGATCTTGCATGTGAACTGGCCTTCTGGCCTTTGAACTTGTGCTCGGAATGCGTGGTGACTTTGTGATCCACCCTGAGGTTTGCTTTGCTTTGCTTGACTGGTCTTGTGACCCCTTGTTCTCCCCCACTTTGCCTATGGGGGTGTGTCAGAACATATATGTAGCTTATGCTGTTGTGTAGGCTACAGTGGGGTATACCATAGGGGGTACAACCCAATTAGGGTTTTGCTATTTGTACTCACTTCACTCATAGTTCACTCATTCTCGTTCACACTTTCTCA